ATTTTTTAAACTTTATTAAAAAAAACCTAAACCATAATTCACCACTATAGACACTTTTTGACAAAAATGAAAAATTACGACTTTGTTTAACCCAATGAGAAGTGTTCTAATATAGACAATGGGTTGTGTCTCATATTATTTGTAATATTTTTATTATTCATTATTTTCACTTGACTCGCATGAATAATTTTGTTCGAAGAACATTTATATGCAGTTGTACTTCGCAGCACTTCACTTGCAATTTGCAATTTCTAGTTCATAAGTTATTTTACAAATAACCCAACCTAAAGAAAGGAAACAACAAAAAGAAATAAATAATAATAATAATTTTGGATTTATATAGTGCCTCAAGTTGTCACAACCTTGAGGCACTTAACAACAACAGAGAAGAAAATAAACCAAAAAACAAATGTACAGCAAGTTATTTTCCATATCTTTATGGGTTTAGTTAATAATGTTTCAGAGTTGGCATGATATACACTTTAAGTTTATGTTGGCCTGGGAATACATTTTAGGAAGTTGTTTAATAAACTAGTCATCGAACTTGTTGCCCAAGTACTTTAATTTAAAGTTTAAATTCCAAGCATGTAGATTTAATAAAAGCAAGCAAATGATGATGGCAATTTAGTAATCTAATTTGTATTTGATTTTAATGCTTGAATGGTAATTTCACATCCAATTAAATTAATTGAAATTAAATAATTTGATGACTCCTAATGATAACAGTGTGTTGCAGTTTCCTTCAAATTTTTAATACTGTAGTGATTTAAAGAAGGGTTCCCAAATTATAGTGTTTTTTTTTAATTGATTAAATGACATTTTGTGATTAGAACATTATTATTATTTTATCTTAAAATTTAATAATTTAGGTAATAATTCATTTCACAAGGAATTTTGTATCTGATATTGAAATAATGTAATTTAATAAGAATTAGGTTTGAAACTGTTTACATCAAAAAATAACAAACTGTTATCATTAAATATTTCATAAATTTATGAAACAAATACATTTTTATTAATAGATAAAATGTGAATATTTAAGGTTTAAATTTTACAAATATTTTCAACTTCTTTTTGATAATCAACGTCTATTTAATGTAAATTGTATTAGTATGTCATATTATACTTTTTGTGTCGCCCGAAAAAAGGTGGTTTCTTCTAACCAAATTCTGTTTTGTTTGATGATTGTTTAATTAACATGTTGTTTTAGTTCTTTGTTATTGTATCTTTTGCTGACCATTGGCTGGGAGGGAGGAAGAGAACAGGGGAAAGGAAATGAGAACAGATGCTTGTTACTGATATCAAGATGTTCTCAACTGATAGCATTAAAATCACAACTTAAAATACTGTCACTTGTGTGACTCATCAAAGAATCAAATAAATTGTATTCAAAATTAATGTGGAGTGCATTTCAAAGTGGCAATTTCGGCAAGTTTTCTTTCAAAAGTGTCTGTATATTGGAATTTTTCAAAAGATTTCTTAATATATTATTATTTTTTACGTACTACTGTATTAAAAAATTTTGGATATTGTTTATTAAAATGTTTTTATTTATATTATTTGTGATTATCAAAGAGATTTTGTTAATTTGTATTCAGGAAGCTGGGCCGGATCCAGTGAGCTCATGGCTGAAATTTTAAAAATATATTAAATGTTACCGTAGGATTTCGCGTATTTAATTAATTTGCTGCAGCATTTTAAATATATTAAATATATTATTATTAAATCGATAAAAGTTATATATTTTTTTTTGTCATTCCAGTTTATTGTTGGTTTTTGTCATTTTCTATTTTCACTGTATTTTGCCTTCTTTTATTTGATGAATAAAAGATTTTTGTATTGTATTGTAACTGTCTCTTATACACATCTAGATGTGTATAAGAGACAGTATATGTATAAAGGCTTTACTAAGTGTTCATAAATACATTAATGTAAATGTATGATGATAAATTTCTGTGAGTTTTGTAGTGTTTTTTTTTTCACAGAATTACAAATGTTATTTCATGGTCACTAATAACTGATTTTAATATGACTTCCTGATAACATTTTAAAATAATGTAATTTGACATTTACTCTACATCCCAATGGGACAAACACAACAGAATATCCTGGCAACTAATATTATTTCTAGCAGTGAATAACTATAGGTGGTAGCCTTTGTCACATTTCTATTACTTCAAGTTCATATTCATTTCTTTTTATTCCACATTGTAAAATTCTTTGTTTAATTTACATTTCTACAACTGTATTACATTGCTTTTTTAAAATTGAGTTATAATTTATTTTAAATTTTTGACTTTGGGGAAGTGATTAACATATTTACACCGAAGGGTCCCAGCTTACACACAAGAATACAGTGTTTTGTTGCAACAGTAAAGCCTTTTTTTGTATTATACCTCATAAATATTATTTAAGTAATAACATTTCATTGGTCAATTCTACCCAGATAGAAGTGTGGTGGTTTCTACGACAGTACTTCCCTGCGCATGCCATATTTACGCTTATGTGGTAAAAAAAAATTACCCAAAATCATGTAAACTGTATGCAAACTGCGTAATTTTACACTCACAGATCACAATGGCTAATGCAGACATATGGTTTGCTGTTTAGTATTAATGAGGTATTCTGTACTAGTAAAAGAAATACCCACATTATTGGATGATTGGAACTACCTCCCTCTGCTTTGGGTCTTCCAATACTGCAGGAAGAAGAATTCACTGCTTTACCGAAATAAAATCATGTGTGCCACAACGTTATTTCAAAATAGAATAAATCTCTAATTAGCACTGCAGCAGTTATTAAAGAACGGTGCTTAGAGAAATATTTGTTTGGTGCGGTGTTTCTTTGAATGCTGTTCACAATTAAAATTTTTTTTTTTTTTTATAAAATTTTATTAAAAGGTAAAAATCATTTGAGTGAATGATAATAAAATTATAATTGTTTTTACAGCTGCTCGTAACCATGTGAACAGGATGTGTTTAGCAGCTGATGTGCCATTGGTCGAGAGCGGAACTGCAGGTTACTTGGGCCAGGTTACGGTTATCAAAAAAGTTAGTTACATTGGGCGCCAAAGAAATCACGTCTGTTTTTGATTTAATTAATTATCTCGTTTAATACATCTATGTTCCAATTAATTCAATTAATCATAGTCTGGTTAACTTTGATTTGGTGTGTCATTTTTTTCCCATAAGGCTTAGCTTGGGATCAAAACGGAAGTTATGAATCTAGAGTAAGATACGTTCCAGAAATATTCATACAGTAAATAATTAAATCAGTTTTTGTTTGTGAATGAGTGACGGTTATGATACTTGATCCTATGTCTTTACAGCTTAGGCTGTGATAAATAATATTCCCAATGATACTGTATTATTAGACTAATTTTATATAATTAAGTTAGTTGCTAATACTAGTTTTCAAGTATATGGTATAAACAGTGTTTAGAACAGAGATCTTAGACACTGTTCTGGAAAAGCTCCTGAATGTTACATTAAAACAACAAATTGCTTATTTAAGATGATCAAGTAATTGTCAACCTCCTCTGAGACAGATAGAACAAAGTATATTTTTCTCCAGTTTTCACATCTTTTTCTCCTACTCACTTGTTAATTCAAATAATATGTAACAAATTATGCATCTTTTATGGAGAGGAAACTAGTTCTTATTTTAATTATTTTAATATAAATAAATATCCTGTAACCTATTAAGAATTCAAATTTAATTTTATTGTTTCCTAATAATGTTCTTTTTTATCATCTTCTAATTATTAATTTAAATTAGAGGTTTTATTGCGATGATTTTGTAACTTTTTTTTTCTGTCATTCCAGTTTGTTGTTGGTTTTTGTCATTTTCTATTTTCACTGTATTTTGCCTTCTTTTATTTGATGAATAAAAGATTTTTGTATTGTATTGTAATTGTTGGATGTGAAAATGTATTTTTTTTTAAACTTTTTTTTAAAAATTTTACAGAAATAATGTTGATATTTTGTAATTAATGATGGGACTAGTACTTCAGTTTACAGCATAAAAAAAAACATTAAAGGTTTTATTTAGAATGTGATAGTGATGTTGTCATTCCCTAGACAGTAACAGAGTGCTATGAATGTCATCCTAAGCCTGTCCAGAAGACCTTCCCAGGTTGCACCATCAGGAACACGCCTTCCGAACCTGTTCACTGCATAGTGTGGGCCAAACATCTGTTTAAGTATGTTGAAATTTACTTTCACAAGAACCATTACAAATCTATGAATAACTTATGATAATGAAACTTTGAATATTATTTTTTTTATGTGAAAATGAAATTAATACTAAAAGGAAATTTTGAAATACATTTTGTATTCTATTTTTATCTAGGTTTATGTCCGTTTACTTACTTTAATTTGTAATTTGTTAAATTTTCCACTATTTGTTTTTGTGTTTGTGAATAACTGATATTATGTTTATTCATATGCATTAGTTTGTATAACCATTAGCATATTAAAAGAAGTGATAATTTGAAAAAAAAAAACAAAAAACAGTAATTAATAACTTGATTGACATCTTGCAGCCAGTTATTTGGGGAAGAAGATCCAGACCAAGATGTCTCCCCAGATACCGCTGACCCGGAAGCAGCAGGGGATGCTGGGAAGGCTGCACTGGAGGGAAAGTCCAATGATAGTAATTCAGTCGGTGGCATTGCCAGGGTGTCTACAAGAGCATGGGCAGAATCAACGGATTACAACTCTGAAAAACTTTTCCGAAAGGTACGATACTTTTATCAGGCCTGGAAAATCTTGTTCTTGTGTTTCTTCTATTGGTTTCATTTGTACTCGAGCTTTTTCATGATACAGTAGAAGTCTCTCGAAAGTAAGAAATTAAGAGGTCCCATTTTGACCCAAGAAAATCAAAATGATGTAAACAATCAGGAATTAATGTGATTTCTATATTTCCATAAAGTTTCTGTCCCTTCTAAGAATAGTGATTGACCTAATTGGCAGTAGATCCTTGATCTCTCCAAATAAGATAAAATGTACATATGAACGAGTTTAATAATAATAATGTGTTTTTTCCATTAATAGCTTTTTCATGATGATATAAAGTATTTACTATCTATGGACAAACTTTGGAAGAAGAGGAAGCCACCAACACCATTGAACTGGGACCAATTGCCCCCAGAAGGTGTGTGTCAAAATATGATCATACACAATTCACTAAAAGAATTTAGAAGGTTTTTTCCACCATATATTAGAACAACATTTTATCAACAAACACATGACCTTTAAAAAAAATAAATGATTGAATTTCTTACTTCACCATAAACATATTTTGGCAAAGAGCAAACTAAATTCAGCAAAAAAAAATATGAATGTATAAAATCAGCTTTTTGTCTATTTGTATGTTAGAACGACATTCCATCAACAGACACATATATGGTAACACCCGTACCAAACAGAAATAAATGTTTTCAATTAATTTTTTTACTTCACCATAAACGTATTTCTGCTAATGTGTTTGGAAGTAAATTAATAATATCAATGGAAATAAATACAAACATGTGTACATGTAAGAGAGTAAATCAATATGTGCTGACAATGTGTGAAGCATTTATACAAGATTAGAAGCAGACATTCTGACATTTGATTTCTTTTTGATAAATTTGTTTCATATTTGCTCTACTAAAAATAAGCCCTGGTATTACATGGAGGAAGTTCCAAGTTCCTGTTGATTTCTTTCTTAACTTTATTAGGAAAGTAATTTAAATTAAGATGACAGATAAGTGGTTGAAATTTGAGGATATTAATAATACAAATGAAAGCCCAATTTAAAATTTTGTTTTGGTGGGGGAATGGTTCGTGTGTGTTTAGGCACAGGAGTGGTTTATTGGGGATAGGACAATATTGATAGAATATAGTTTAAAATGTAAACACTTCCTTAAAATAAACACATTTTAAAGAAACCTTGAAATTCAAAAACTAAATATGGTAACAAACTTAATTTCTGACTGACAAGATAATACCTTTTCATTTAGAGTACAGTATTTGATTTATATGTGTAAATTTTATCCGTAACCCTTGACCCACAGATATAGTCTGTATGTTAATTCTCTATTCCATGGTTGACATAAACTATAGTAAAGTTGAATATTCATGCCTTAAAATATATAATATTCATACGTATAATTTGTATGTTTCAGAACCTAGTAGCACAACTAACTCCAATGGTGCCATTAAGGACCAACGAGTGTGGGATGTAAGGGAATGTGTGGATAAATTTACAGACAGTCTTGCCAACCTCAAGCAGCAGTACAAAGATCAAGGAGAGCTGACGTGGGATAAGGTATGTCAAAGGGCATTAATATAAATCAGCTTTATTTTATATGGTTGATACGGTTGAGTGCCTGTCCTCTAAATCCAGGTTATAAGTTCATATCCTGTGGCGGATTGCTATAAAACAGTCTTAACTGGTAGTCTTAACTCCTTGAATAAAGCCGGCTTTGTCATTTAGACGGCCAAGACCATTGCTATAAAGGTCTTCCCTAAGACTGCTTTGAGTATTGAAACGCAAACAAGCACTCCCTAGTAACTTAAGATTGGGAGCGACGTCATGCGTGCTCGACGCACGCAAATGTATCAAAATGAATGTAAATAAATGTAGACCTATTTTTACAGACACTGAGAAGCGTGCGGAATATTCGTCGTTCAGTTCTCAGACTTTGACGATCTAGGCCAAGGTCTTGCCATTGCATTGTTGAATTAATCAGCAGAACGCCATGATGAAAATTATTTAAGACCGTTTTAAGCCTCCTCCGAGTGGGCTTTAAAATTTAAGACGGCTAACTGGTTAGACCGCGGTATAGCAATGGTCTATAATCATAGACCAGTTGTGATGTCACGATTATAGCCGGCTAACCGTTAAGACCGTCTAAAGACCGCTTATAGCAATCTGCCCCTGCAAATGGCAGGCAGGATGTTATTTTCTGTATTAGAGCTCTATTTTTTATGGTTGAAATTGTTGAGTGCCTCCCCTTCAATTCTAAAGTTGTATCCTGCAAATGGCACGCTGTTATGTTTCTATACAAATTTCCCTTAGTGCTTATAAAAGTTTGGGGGTTTCGGTGCAATGTTTATTCAAGAGAGACACTTATTCAAGAGCCGGGCTTGCTACAAGGCTTGCAAGTTATTGAAGTTTTAGATTTTTATATCTCTTTTGTATTATTTATTTTATATTTAGTTGCATGAACCTGAATTACACTGAATATGTTTTGTTAATGTCCAAGAATAATGTGTGTGAATTATTCCATAATGTGTATGTTTATTCCCCAGGATAATCCCGCTGCCATGGATTTTGTAACGGCTGCTGCTAACATCCGATGTCAGATTTTTGGAATAGCTAGGAAGAGTCGGTTCAAAATCAAATGTAAGTTTTAATCATGTATGAAAAAAAATAATGTTTAATAATGTATGAAAAGAAATAATGTTAAAACTTACAAAATGTAAATTTAAATTGTATAATTATATTATTTATTCTACATCAACTTAGTCTCAGTATTTAAATAGTTTAGCATGTTGTTATGAGACAATTTTCAAGTGAAAAGTTCTTAAATTTGTCCATATATAGACATGATGATGTCATCACAACCATGAATATGCAAATCGCAAGTACTTGCTACATTAAACTTGATAATGTACACAGAGCCTTAAAAACTTTATTTTATTTTAGTGTGTACGATATCATATTTTTAATAATAATAATGATGGCTTCCATTATATGTATGATAATGATTTATAATTTATTTGTTTCAGCAATGGCTGGTAATATTATACCTGCGATTGCTACAACGAATGCCGTCATTGCTGGTATTATGGTAATGGAAGCACTCAAGATACTCTCAGGGCATTTAGACAAATGTAAAACGGTAGGTGACCGCCACCGACAAGGTTATGCATTCACCAATTGTCTGCCTGTCTGTCTATAAGCAGGATTAGGATTGCGCAATAACTAATGAATGAACTAATCATCCTAAAATTTTGTGAACTGTTAAATATAGCTCTAAGGAAAAAGTGATTAAATTTTTGAATGAAAAGGTCAAAGGGGAAAGGTCAAGCTTACAGAATTCAATAAAATCTTTAAAACTTGCCGTACCTCTCAAACATAAATGGAAATACTTGAATCGCCTATCTCACGCATTATCCCCCGCATGTATTATTTTGTATTCAGGGAAAGGGGAAAAAATATGCACCTGTTAGGTGTTGCTTGCTTCACTTTTTTATATATTTGTTAATTTGGTTATAATAAACGTATATCTATAGTGGAAAGATGTGTTAGTATTCTTTTCTAAGAGTTTTTGTTACTTAAAGTAATTGTGTTTTTACAGGTGTACTTAAATAAGATACCCAATGCCAGGAAGAAGTTCCTAGTGCCATGTAATATTGAGAAACCAAATCCAAAGTGCTATGTTTGCTCCTCTAAACCTGAGGTAAGTCAGTAGCCTGCTTCTGGGAGATATGTGCCTATGTTTTCATAATTGGGGTTGTCGGAGTGCTGGTGTAAACAGAGCAATGGTGCTCAGTGAGGTTTCTGCTCTGGTGGTGATGGTTGGTAGTAGTAATGGTTATGGCTGATAGTTATAGTGATGGTGTTGATGGTATTCGTGAGGCTGGTGGTGGTGGTTTGTATCTGTGGTTGATGTGGTGATGGTTGGTAATATAGTTGTGGTGGTGATGGTTGTTGATAGTAGTGATGGTGGTGGTTATGGTTAGAAGTTGTGATAGTTATGGTTGATAGTTGTAGTAATGGTGGCGGTGGTTATGGTTGGTAGTAGTTATGGTGGTGATGGTTGGTAGTGATGGTGGTGGTTGATAGTTGTGATGGTGAGGGTGATGGTTGATTGTTGTGGTGTTAATAGTGATGGTTGGTAGTAGTTGTGGAAATTGATAGTAATGGTTGTAGAAGCCGGTGTTGATGGTAGTAATGTGGTAGTGGAAATCTATGTGAACAGATACTGGTTTAAAAATGATTATTTTTCTGTTTATAATTACAGGTCACAGTTCAACTAAACTGTGCAACATTTACAATTAAGATGTTTGAAGAAAAGGTATTGTACAATTATTAGTTGTCATTTATAAATTAGGTGGAAAGTGGGGTGTAATAAAAACATAAAATGCAAGAGGATACATCTTAACAAAATTAGAAAAATATTTATAGCATACAAGTTTATAACTTAGTTTGTAACATTATAACAAGTACGATTGTTGCTTAATTGTTTTAAAATGTTTTTTTTTTTTATATTGGCATGATTCTTGGATTCAATGTTTTTTGTTTGCAATATTTCATGATTGTTGTTTCAGTGGTTTTTCCAATGTCAAATTTTCATGAAAGAAGCTGCTGTAAAAATATAAACATCATCATAATTGATGTCATAATAATTATTGCTATAATTTACATTTATAAGTGATCAACATAATCATGTTTTTTTTTTTGCTAGGTTCTGAAGTCTTACCTTGGAATGGTGGCTCCAGATGTTGAAGTTGAAGATGGAAAGGGAACCATCTTGATATCCAGTGAAGAGGGAGAGACAGAGGGTAAGGTCATTGAACTCTATGCTTGTTTTCTTCTGCCAATACATGAAAATGCTTAAAGAAGTTTTATAACCTAAACAGATTTAAAAAATTAGAAGGTATTTTAATTATAGATGTTTGAGTTATACCACGTAAATTGTTCTGAAAACAATTGTTGTCGTGTGTCTCAGTGTTTTAATTAAGTTGCTTCAGTTACCAGTAGGAGAATAATTTCCAATTACAAGTAATTGTCACATCAATGATAATGATGAAGGTAATGATGGTGTATGGTGCAAATGACAGTTATGACGACAAGAAAGATGATGAAGGCCGCAGAGCCGCCAATGACAATAGTGATAACGATAAGAAAGATCGATGAAGATGGTTAATAAGGTGGAGAGTCTGATGAGAGTGAAGTTGAAGAATATTGTGGATTATGGTGAATAATGGGTGATGACCATTATGACAATAATGAGAGACCTCGCTTCCTTCAAAGAAAAATAATGAAAATGGTATCATTATTAATATTACAAGCAATACACAGAAAGAAATTGTGGATATATATAATTTATTATTTTTTTTTTCTTATTTTGCAGACAACAATGATAAGTTTTTGAGTGATTTTTCCATTAAGCACTCCAGCAGACTAAAGGCAGATGATTTCCTACAGAACTACACACTTGTTATAAATATTGAACAATGGTTAGTACCATTTATATTCATTTTTGTAAGTAAATTAAATAAAATCATAATATTAAGCTTCCTTCTCCTGGGCTGATAAAGTGCACCATCTTTTGGAGGAGACGTTTCAGCCGTTGGTCCTATGTGCAATATGGCCCATGTTCCTGTTAAAGAATGCAGTACACTTTTCAGAAAAAAAAGTAGGGGATTGTCTCCCAGTTTACTATCCATTCACCTCCAAAAAAAACCCACTGGAAGTAAGTCTTCTTCAGACTTTTGTGAGTTTTTTTTGGCATTTGCACCAAATACATCCAATTCAATGAACCAATATCTTTATATTTTCCACCCTCTCCTCAAAATCTGTCCACAGCTTGCTAAACAATATATTAAGAAAGTTTTGCCTGAATAAAATCTTTTTTACTTAATATTTATTTACAAGAATATTCTTGTAATTTATTTTACATAGACTTGATATTTCTTTTTGTGTTGCTATACAGTATATATAATATTGCTATACAGTATATATAATATTTATAAACTACTCTGTGTTTTTATTCTTCCAGTGACTCCTTTGAGGAGGAAGTAGACTTTAAGGTCGTAGGTGAAAAACCTAGGCCCATCAGTGAGAAAGAAAGTGTTAGCAGTAGTGTAGATGAGAAAGGAGAAGGAAGCTCTCAGTCCAGTGGTAATAAAACTTCACATCCTGAGCCAAGCATGATAGTGGGTAAGCAGATTTTCTATTAGTCACAAATATATAGAATTAACAGCATGCAGTGTAGGGGTTCTCTTTTTATGCCTCTCCCATTTTCAATGTCTGTGGTGGTGAAATGAGATACTAAACAGACCCTTTTACTGCAAATCAATTTAGAAATACAACAAAGTAGTTATACAGATGTAGGCTAGTGTTTCGTGCTTAATTTTTTTGGGTTGTTATCAGGGGTTCAACCAGAAAAACGGAATAGGCCGTCCAAAAAGGAAGCCAGTGTGCTTGGCACTGAGCCGATGGGCGGGCCACGCCCATCTTTGGGAATCCCCACTGAATATTGGTACGAAAACAATGTACATTCAATCAATAAATGTTTTTATCAATATGATTTAGCTTTAGTTTAATGTAACATTCGATAGATTTGAAGAATATAAAGAATTTGCTAATGGTAGACCAGGCCCAATTAGGCTAGGCCGAACTGTTTAGGCCAAGCCCTCCAAGCTGTCACAGTAAAAGTGGCCGTCCTAAATAATTGTAAGCCGTCCAAAAGACGGCTGGACGGCTCGCTGGCTAAGCCTATGGTTGTCATAGACAGATATAACCGTGCAAGCTAATATGTGCAGTACTACACCTCTCAGACGGAAGGAAATTTAGCATGGTGGTTAAGATGGTTGCCTTCCAATCCCAACGTCCTGGTTTCAAGTACTGTGACAGCACCTGATTTTTTTTCTCTCAACTAAAAAATATTTCCACTACCTACGCCTTGAAATGAGACTTGGTTTATGAAGCATCTTATTATTATTTTATTTTCATTATTTGAGATGGCCCCTGAATATCACCTAAGCTGGAAGGGTCATCCTCTATAAATATAGTGTTAAAAGATTGCTTTCATTGGTTAATCTAACCAAGTCTCATGAATATTAATAATCCTAATTTTCATTTCACTGGCCAACTTCATACTTTTACATAGCTTACTATTTGTGTTAAATAAAGTAATGGAACAATGTTTTGAATTTTTTCTTTCAGATGATGAGGATGACATTATGGTGATTGATGTTGACCAAGAGGCGCAGCCTAGTGTTTCCAAGAAGAGGAAGCACTCCGATGACATTGATGTAATCGCATCTAAGAAATCAAAAGTGACCTCACAGACAAGTAATGGTGACGATGATACGCTAATCATTGACCCTTAATACCACTCACCTGAGGCATTGTTTCTTGTACAAATCCTGTTGTATTTTGAACAAAATATTTTATACTCTCTGAATGGAGATTACTGTACTTCAGTAAGCACAATGCTCAAAGTTACGCCTCAGTGCACATGGTTTTCCTGCCGTTGTGATGAATATAAAGCATTTATCAATCCGATTCCTCAGAACTACACTCCATGTTTTATTTTTTTACCTTGCACACACTTTTTTACCTTGCACACACTTTTTTTTTATTGTCAATAAATTTCCCTCTTTACTTTTATCGTATGATCAGGGAGGTATGAAAATAGGAGAGAGCTCGAAATGATAATCTAAAAACCATCTGTCCATTAGTCCTTATAAGGCAAGGAGAGCGAAGATGTTGTTGTCTTTGAACAAGCTTGGCATGTTTGCTTAAGATCGACAGAACCCATAATCACCGCCATCTTAGCAGCCCTCTATACTATTGGGCTTGTTTAATGCATAGTATTACAGTAGTAAGATAAAACACCAATATCAAGTTGCACAGTAAACGAGTATTTTATTGTGCAACAATCATATTCTAAAAGAGCGCCAAATTTTGAGACGACTCCAACAAGGTCATCCTTTGTACAGGCTTCCAGAGCATCATCAAAAGAGATGGAAGTAGGAAGTCAATACTGGATATTCATATACTTCTGGGTTTCTATTTTGCGTTTTTCAGGAAAATTGAGATTATTCAGGTGGATATTTTCTGCATGATTGTAAAGTAATATACAATTAGATAACATTAATGTTAACAATATTGTTCTATCTTTAAACATATGGTTTGAAATTATATATAATCTGTCCATCAGCAACTTCTGTTAAGGCCCCTCATGTTGGTTGCCTGGGCAATTTAGTGCAGGGAGGACAGGGTTTGTAAAGAATATTATATACATGTAGGTAAATTTAGGAAAAACTCCGAATGCCTTGCAATTATGTAAAAAATTAAAATCCAATTCGGCTTTGTTCAAATGAAGAGTAATCTTTTCATATTTTCTTAATAAAGAAACTGGTAATCTTCTTGAAATGAAATCCTTGATAATAGAACCAAATGTTGTGTTATTTTTAAAATGCATTGTATTTTTTGTCAACTTACGTCCATTTGTCTTCAGATAATCAGTGCTCTTCCCTTGGTTTTCCCTGCCGGGGTATTTTTTACATGACACACAGCAGGCGAGTGGAGTGAAAAGCGCTGTGGGGTTAATTCACCCTGTTGCGGCCGCCAGTAGAGTGGTGTTTCTTTGTAAGCTACAAGATAAATCATACATTATAGCCTGCATGAAAAAAAAGTTTGTTTTACATATTAACAAGTTTGTATAGCTACATCCCTGATGTATAGTATGTACTACATTACTGTATTGCGATTGTTGTTTTGAATTTATTTCAAGCACATGTTAGAGTTGTGGCTCCAATCCAATGAAATTCCAGCCCAGGCTTAGCCCAATTTAGCGTATCGGGAGCGTAAATAATTATATAGGAATTTCAAACAACCCCGATTTTACGTATGAATGATATTTAAGAATGCCTCTTGAACCATCCTGTATGTTTTCACTGTATTTTTGTGTACTGATAACATATCTTTTTAATAATAGGGGAGTATTGAATATTCGTTCTTAAGTGAATTTGACATGAGATTGATACTGTAAGTAACCACTTAGGTTAGATGTTTTGAGCTCTCTCCTCTTATTTTTATACATCTCTGGTCTGACCGTAGATCTGATTAGGTAGCACCAACTCAAGACAGGCGGATACTAAGTAGCCTGTACCTTGAGTAGAGGTTCTGAAAGTGACTTAAAGTGAAGTAATATACAATAAAACATTTTGATGTCCATGTCGAGGGTGCTTGCTGGTAAGCCACTTATATTTTTTCTACCTCACTTGATCCCATCTAAGTTCATTTTTTTCCCATCACTCAAGTATAAAATCACATTCGCAGCTTCCTTAAGAAGCTCTGACTACATTATGTATTATATAAAATCTTACAAAGGGAATAGTATATATTGGTGAAGTTATGAGAACACGTTTAGTAAATGAATGAAGGTGATGTTTGTTAGCATTTGGGGCAATGCACATGCGCCACTGAAAAATTTCGGTAGCAGTGGTGGTGCAGCAGGGAGGGGTGTGGCTTAAGTTTTCTATGAGACAAGCCAAGATATCTGTCACGATTTGAGCATAATAAGGTGGAAAAATCCTCAATTTAGGCCATAAATTTTGCCAAAAAGGCTCAGAGCAACTTTAAATGGCCCATAATTACCCAGATTTGTCTAGGCTTTAGGAGCTGGGAAGGGGGGGGGGGTGTGTGTGTGTGTGTTACTCTCTGGGTTCCCAACAGGGCTTTGCCCGGAAGTCAGCCTGTCTGGGTGTTTTTAGCAGGAAAACTCATCTGGGTGTTTGAGGAGGACTTTTGCCGAAAGTCCTCTTCCACCCAGATGAATTTTCCTGGTGTATTGGGAAATTGTCCTGATAATTCATCTCAGACTTCATAAAAACCATGAGTTTGAAATTGACTTAATGAAGTGCTATCACTGTGGGTGCTGTTAATACTAATGAATAAAATGATGATTATTATTATTATTATTTTTATTATTATAAGCTAAATGATTGGACAAACATTTTTGAAAAATTAAACATAATACTGTAATTGGCGATATCTAAGTAATACAAAAACTAATGAAGGTTGTTTTGTTTGGCATTTAATGTTTTAGGCATTTTGTTAGGGGTGTATTTGTCAGTGGTAGTCGTTTGGGGGTTGGCTTCTTGCCAGGGCGAAGGTGTATTCCGAGTTTATTTGTCAATGGTATATTTTTTTCATTGATAACTTGTTACATTTTGTATTGTACTTGTCAATTTTCATTATATTGTGAATGCTTTTTTAATAAAATTAGACACAATATTTGTCTTGATAAATAAGAAAAAAATGGTACTACTGTTATGTTTTTATATATGTTCGTTAAAACCAAATATGTCATTACTGTACAACTGAAAAATGAAATGGTGACGAAGTTTCTTTGCGTCCATGCCACTTTTGTATCCATTTTTTAATACAAGGATTTGTCGCCATTTACTACCTAGTTATACCAATAAATCAATGAATAAATCGCTTGTTCAATATTGTTTCTATTTTCAAATAAAAACCAATAGTTTAAATATACAAAGTAAACTTATTTAATTAGGCATACTGTACTGATAAAGTGGTCTGGCGGCCAGTAAAGTAAATGATCATACTAGGGCGCTCGCCCCAATTCATTATCAATGCATTACTGTCATTACCTACCTATGTACTGTATTTATTTTTCTTTTTTATTATTATGGCATACAATTAAGAACAGTTCATAACATATTATAAAGTAATCTTCAATAGAAACTATGAACCAAGAGTCCTTTTATGTACTCGAGCCTTGTTGCCAACGCATTAAGTTCTACAGAAAATACGCTCTTCAACTTTATTCCTTATTTAGACTTCCACATGACCACCAAAATTGTTTCATCACTTGATCATAGGCGTATATCCCGGGGGATGGGGGGATATATCCCCCCAATATTTGACAAGGGGGGGATGGTCCATTGTATCATCCCCCCCCCCAATATTTTGACTATGTATGGGATAAAATGGAGCTTTACACACTTCAAAAGACTGTCACAGAAATAATTTGCACTGTCTTATGCACTTACAAAGATGAAAATTAGCATAATGTAGGGCTACTAATGTTGATAACAAAATTACTTTATCTGGTACCAATCTAAGCTCTTCTTTCCTAAGATGTTAGATGTGCTTGCAAAGAGAGCCACATTTCACACTGAAGAGTGTGTACGACATCAGTTATATTATGTCAATTCCAAGGTTATATCGGTTGATGAGAAATTTATTGATTAGGCCTATAATAGTAAATTGCATCAATTTATTTTGCAAAAACAAGGTTTCCAGCTTCAGAGCGGGTCACATCCCCTGTCCGCACAAGGGCACACATTGGCGCTAACACCAGGCGCGTAACAGGGGTCTTGGGTCAGAGTGGGTATTTATTAATTTTATTTTTTATTTCAACCATCTTTAAAGAGGGAAACCCTTCTAGTTTAGCCCAGTAGGATAACTGATATTCAGGGGCCCTCTTTAATAAAATTAAAGAACAGTACAAACAACATCATTACAACATAATAATAATAAATATAAGCATTTTCATCATGGTTTTATTTATTACAAACATATTCTTTCACCATCTATACATATTGAGGCTCTTCTTTTAGGTGAAAATGATCTATCTCAAATCTTGAGTTTTGGACTATTATGTGTTTAAATAACTTAAAAGGATAAAACTAAAAAAGCCCTAAAAAATGCGCGGAAAATATTTTTGTGTTTTTAATTCTAATTTCGTCGGAATTAATGAAAACTCCCTAAAATGTGCAATTTATAGAGGAAATTGGCCTACCGTAACAAGAAATGCGCGCAAAGAATTTGAGAATTTTAGGCACTTTCAGAAGATGCATTTATCTTATCTTATTTATAATATAGGACACACACGTGTGTTTGAAACTAAATATAAGCATTTTCATCATGGTTTTATTTATTACAAACATATTCTTTCACCATCTATACACACTGAGGCCCTACTTTTAGGTTAAAATGATCTATCTTAAATTTGTCTTTCTTGAGTTTGGGACTATTATGTGTTTAAATAAATTAAAAAGGAAAAAAACTAAAAAAAAGCCCTAAAAAATGCGCGTTAAGCGCGCAAAATATTTTTGTGTTTTTAATTCTAATTTCGTCGGAATTGATGAAAACTCCCTAAAATGTGCAATTTATAGGGGAATGTATAAACCCTGTCTCTTATACACATCTAGATGTGTATAAGAGACAGTTGTGAGTCTGGTCATTATGATATCTTCCTTTTTATTCTTGTCTTTATTTTTCTCTTCTCTTTTTCTTTCCTTTTCTTTTCCTCTTCTTTCTCTTTCCCTCCCTCTCCCCTCTTTCTTTTCTCGTATTACCCAGCCCGGTACGACGGCTTGGTCAGCCCGGTAAAAACCGTCAGGGGAGGGGCAGTTTCCCCCTGCCCCCCACCCCGCGCCTGTTACGACACTGGCTAACACGCCAATCATCCCCCCACCCAATGAAAAATATTTTTCTACGCCACTGCACTTGATGAACTGTCTGTCATAACCGAAAAATTCGATTCCATCCTATTTGAATTGTTGAATTTGTAAATTATTAACGTAACAATTAAAACTTTTAAAAATAAAAATCGCCGTCAATAAACGGACAGTTAAATAGTACTTTAATTATTACTATATTCTTTTGTTTAAACCATTAAATTGGATGGTAATCAATCAATGATTTTGTAGCAAAACATTTGTAAATCCGCGAAAGTGTTGGTGGTTAGAAGTTGATAACTCATCATTTTAAAGTGAACAATTCAAAATGTTTAATTAATTTGTTTAGAAAGATATTTTTTGGCACGTTATTTAAGCTTATGAATGTTCCTTAAATAAAGGATGCAAATATCAATAGGCCTACTATTTTGATTAAAAGGCGACATTATATATTAGTACGAGATGGACTTCAATAGCCTTCACCCTTGTGTCATTCTCAGCCCACGTGCCTATTTAAAGAACAATTAATTTTCCTTCGCCAAACAGGAAACACATGGTCAGATAACTATGGATAAACATTACCCAGCTAGCAATGCGACGTTGCCCAACGTTGGTAAACGTTGGCAAGCGACGTCAGTAAGCGTCGGGGTCGGATATCTGACGTTGGTACGGCGTTGGTGTTTGGTACCAAAATTTGGTTGGGGAGGTAACGTTAAACCAACATTGGAATTTCACTCGGCCCAACTTATGAATATATTTGTCGATTTTCCGATGTCGTCCCAACGTTGGTAAGCCGTCGTAAATATTCAGTCTGACTACGGACGTTGGTACAACGTCACGATTGTTACTGGCCCGACGTCGGCAAACTGCTAAAAAGATGGTTGGATACTACCGTTGGCCCAACGTTGGCTAGAGTTTGTAAATATTAGATGTGATTGTAGACGTTGTCGCAACGTCAGAGTACTTTGTTGGCCCGACGTCGGTAAACGTTTGAAATAGACGTTGGTTACCACCGTTGGGCCGACGTTGGCCAGAGTTTGTAAAAATTAATTTTTTTTTTTTTTTTTTTTTTTTTTTTTTTTTAAGGCAGTTTAGTTGATGGTAGATAATGAATAGCAAACCTGGTGGTTGTGTGTTCGATTCCCACACGAACCATTTTTTTTTTCTTTTTTGGCGCGACGTCAGTAAACGTTTGAAATTTACAACCTCTAACCAACGTCGGCACAACTGTTGTCACCACCTCTAATGTTTACCGACGTCGGGCCGTCATGGAAGCCCACTGGCTCCTGTGTAATTCATGTTGAGCCAACTGCAGACGAAAAGGTTACAATCTTTTCAGAGACACAGTGGAATCAATGGAAGGATTTTAATACTGAGGAATGGAAGTGGCTTGCTTAACCGTTTTTCTTCGATCGTCGCTTCCAACCGTCTAGGCGCATCTAGCCTAAAGAGGGCCTACATAGCAGGTCGAGATCCATGAAAAGTCGTATATAAAGATGTGGGTTATCCTCATCTTTATATTTGCTCAAGTAATTAATTTATTGAGCAGATTAATCACACTGATTTTTTATTCCTAGAAGGCGGGAAATGAGTTTTCTCGACTTCTGAGGTGTCTTTTAATTACCTTTAAGTTCTTCAAAATTCAAAGTTTTCCTTTCTTATTACAGTACATAGGCCTTATGTGTGTATAAATACATAAAAAAGAATGAGTAGTTGGATACGAATTTTTTTTTTTCATGAATCGATAAATCCCAAAAAGATAGGGGTCGGGGTTCTCCCCTGGGAAAATTTTGATTCCTAGAAGGCGGGAAATGAGTTTTCCCGACTTCTGAGGTGTCTTTTAATTACTTTTAAGTTCTTTAAAATTCAAGGTTTTCTCCTCTTGAAAATTATTATAATGAATCAATGAAGCCAAAGAGAAAAGGGAGGTTCGGGTTCTTCCCGGCAAAATGTTAATTTCTAAATGGTGGGAAATGAGCTTTCCCGACTTCTGAAGTATCTTTTAGCGATTTTAATTTAAGTTCTTCAAAATTCAAGGTTTCCTCTCTTGAAAACGGTCAGGTAATTTTTTCCCAAAATCTCAAAAAAGAAAGGGGGTCGGGGTTCTCCCCCGGGAAAATTTTGATTCCTAGAAGCGGGAAATGAGCTTTCCCGACTTTTGAGGTGTCTTTTAATTACTTCTAATTTCTTCAAAAATCAAGGTTTTCCCCCTCTTGAAAATGGTTTAATGAATCAATGAATTCCGAAGAAAATGCGGGAAATGACCTTCCCTGACTTCTGAAATGTCTTTTAAATGACTTTTTAAGTTCTTCAAAATTCAAGGTTTTCCCCTCTTGAAAATGGTCAGGTAAATTTTTCTCATTTTTTATTTTATGTGTGTATACATAGGCCTACATAAATAAATGAGTAGTTGCATGCGTATTCTTTTTCCCATGAATCGATAAATCCCAAAAAGAAAGGGTGAAAATTTTAATTCTTAGATAGCGGGAATGAGCTTTCCTGACATTTGAAGTGTGTTTTAATGACTTTTATGTTCTTCAAAATTCTAATTTTCTGATTGTAACATCACGGGTCCTGAAACGGTAGGTCTAGAATTTTTTTCCGGTCAAATCCGGTCTCCAGACAATATTTTTTGCAAACCCCCGGTTCCGACGGCCATGCTGATGGGGTGGGGCCATCCCAGTGGCGTATC